GACTTGAGAAAATAAAACAAAAAGAGAGAGAGAGAGAGAGAGAGAGTGAGTCGGAAAAAAAAAGTTATAAACATAAAATTTAAGTATCAAACAGTAAATGAATGACAATAATAAAGTTTAAGAAATTCCAGGTGTAAGCGATTGTTTTAATTCTCTCTCTCTCTCTCACCCTTATCATCGTTATCAAATAAATTTTTTTTCTTTCCGATTTTCAACCCCCCCCTCACGTATCTCCACTACCCCATGAGTGAAACTTTTTAAGAAAAAATATTGTTGACCTTTGACATTTATATCATTATCACTTAATTTTTTCTTTCTACTTTAAGCGTCGCAAATTTTTTTTCTTTCTTTTAAAATTCTTTTCTCTCTCTCTCTGTCTCTTTCTTTCTCTGTCTTTCTCTCACTCACTCATTCTTCACCCATCAATCTACTTTTGTTTTTTTTTTTTTTTTTAATTTGCAAAATGTGACTTTATGGCAAAACCAAACATTTTTGATGGGAGTGAGAGAGAGAAAAAAAAGGTTTCCTTTGTGACAATGGTTTTAAATAATAATAATAATAATACGAACGTGAGAAATGTGACTTTATACGACGAAGTGAAAGAAAAAAAAAATCATGACAGCGGAAATGATTTATTAACGTTTTGAAAATAAGAACCAAGTGGAAGCAGAAGAAAAAGAAGAAGAATAATAATTTTTAAAAACTCGATGTAATAAAAAAAAAAATAAACGTTCAAATGCATGCAAGCAAGTAAAAATCACTTAAACGACACTCACTCTCTCTCTCTCTCTCTCTATGTGTGTGTGTATGTTTAAAATTAACGTGTAAGTAGAAAAAAAAAAAAATACGATCGTGATTCTTTAAAAGTTTTTTTTTTTATGGGTTTTGTAGAAAAGTGTGGGAGAAAAGAAAATATTACAACAGAAACAATGTGTGAGAATTTAAAAAAAAAAAAAAAACCGTTGAATATATAATAATAATAATAATAATAATAATAATAATAATAATAATAATAATAATAATGATAATAAAATCGATGAATAATAATAATAAATAAAGCAAAAGAAGTAAAAAAAAATAATTTTACTTAAAAACGTAATTTTTTTTTTTACATTTATCGACACTTTCAAATATTGTTTTGTTTTTGTTTCGTTACGTCACAGATGGATGTTACAAATTTTTTTTTGTGACGTCATAGTCGAATGTTTCCAATTTGGGAAACAAAAAAAAAAAGAAAAGTAGAAAAGTAATAAATTATAGAAAGGTTGAATGCACAAACCGCATAAAACAAATTTTTTGTGGAATTTTTAGAAAAGGCGTTCGTACGTTCGTTTACGTCACATCCTTTTCTTAACGGAATTTTTTTTTTTTTATTATCCTTCCAGTGATGGTTCGGGTTGAGATAAAAAAAAAAAAGTATTTAGAAGATGAATTAAATGAATAAAAAATTTATTTGTTGTACAAATTTAACAAAATGTGTATATATATATATATATATACGTGTTAATTTAAAGAAAGGCATTTCCGTAAAAGTTTATCTGCTGGATTCGACCAAGCAGAAGGTTAAGGTTACTCATCTGGAAGTAGGATAGCGCTTGAGAAATTTGAAACATTGCTAAGGAAATAACTACTATCTTTTAAAATAAAAAGGAGAGAGAGAGAGAGAAAGAAGGAGGGGATGAGATGCGAACAAATATTATAACAAGTAAAAAAGAAAAATTTATTATTATTATTATTATTATTATTAAATTAATATATTTATATTTTATATAATAAATATTTTTTTTATTTTTAAACAAAATAAATAAATAAAAAAATTTCATTGATTTCCGGTTTAAATTACATACTTCCGGTTTGAGGGGGAAAAATAAAATACAATAAATAAAATTTTAACGGTTAAATTATAAAGATGACGTTTAATTACGTCACGGATCATTTTGCAATACGGTGAATTTGATTGGTTAACGATAATCATCTGACAAAAACGTGTCAGTGGTTGATTGGTCGTTTTTTTTATTTTTAAAGAAATGATTCGTTCGTTTATTATATAGTCGCATCTTCTTCGTATAATTAATAAGAAAATAACGATTATAATTATTATTTTATTGTTAAAAAAAAATGGCGGAATTTTTTTTTTTTTTTAAAAAACAAAAGTTTTTTTCATTACACACGGTCTAATAAATAATTTGAGTTTTGTTGTTGTTGTTGTTGTTGTAATTATTTTAAAAAATAAAAATGCAAATTTTTTTTTCCATTTTCCATTTTTTTATTTTTATTTTTTTTTACTTTGGAAAAAAAAATAAAATTACAAACTTTTCTTTTTAATTTCGTTTCTTATTCTTATTTTTTTTTTAGTCATTAAAAGAAAAAAATATCAAGTATTAAAATCAATTTTTATTTTTTTTTATTTAAATCTTTCTTTCTCTCCCTCTCTCTCTCTTTCTCTTTATCTCTTTCTACTTACATTCCAGTCTTTTTTAATTTTAAACTTGAAAAAATGGCGGTAAGTTTCTTTTTTTTTTTATCTTTAATTTTTTTTTTGTTTGCATTGGGTTAAAACGGGGATATACGTAGAAAATTACAAACAATTTTCCAAAAAAAAATTATTTCCGGTTGGTTTTTTGTTTTGTTTTAAATAAACCAAAACCGGAAATGATTTTTATTTAAGAACGAATTTTACTCGATTACGTCATACGATAATTTTGTGTTTGTTTCCTTTTTTTTCGGAAAACTGGATAAGATTTAAAATTTAAAAATTGTTTTGTATAATAAAATCTCGATAATAATAACATTTTCCAATGAACTTTTATCACGATGATAATAATGATAGTAATAATAATAATAATAATTTATTAATCGAAAGTGAAAATAATTTATTTTTACGATATTTTGATAATTTTAATAAATAAAACTTTTTCGTTGTTGCCGTTTGTTGTTTTCTTTGTTTGTTTGTTGTTGTTGTTTTGTTTGTTATTATTAAAATAAATAAATATTATTTTCGTATGATTTTACGAAATAAAAAGAAAAAGAGTGGGAGAGGTAGAAAGAGAGAGTGAGGGGGAAGAAAAGGAAAAAAAAAACAATTTTATTACGCCTTTTTAAACATTGTTTTCCGAACCGGAAATAAAATTTTCTTTTCGAATCGGTTTTTCCAATTTTATATATATATATATATATATATATAAAAGTTTTTATTTGACGCCGCGTAAAGAAATTAAATAAATGCGTAAACGCGCGTTTTCTATTACGAATCATCTAAAAAAAAAGAAAACAAAGATAGAGTTCTTTGTAGAGAATAAAATTAAAAATAGGAAAAAAAAACGTGAAAAGGACGGTTTTTATATTATCATTTCCGGTTAAAGAATTAATAAATTTTAAACCCGGAAATAGTTATCGATGCGAACTCGAAGACATTTTCTTTGGTGTAGAAAAGCGTAAAAGAATAATAATAATAATATAAAAATTTTTATTTAAAAAATTAAATTACCTGTTGATAAAGTCGAGAAACAACCGGGTTACGTCATCGTCATCATCATCATCATCATTATCATTATTATTATTGACGTGAAGTAGAAGTTAAACAGAAAAAGGAAAAAAAAAAATTTTTTTAAGGTCGAACGGAAGGAAAAAAAAAATTAAAACAAAAAAATTTTTCCTTACCTTTTTTTTCCTTTTTTTTCGTTTTTTTCTTTTTTTCGTTTTTTCCCTTTTTTTTTCCTTTTTTTGTTCCTTTGTTTACGTTTTTACTTACCTTTTTTGTTATTAATAAAGTAAAAAAAAAAAAAAATTCATTTCCGTCTTAGCAATTAATAACGGTCAAATTTTTTACCAACGTACAAAAAAAAAATAATAATTAAAAAAAAAAAAATTTTTTTTTTTTTGTTTTTTTTTATTTATTTATTTTCCAGTTTTTGATGACGTCACGTTTTATTTTCCTCCAAAAAATCTATCGGATGTAAAATGATAAGAAAA